TTCAGAAGATGTATAAATATAATTTACATATAAATATGAACAGTATATATTTCAAAATATATATTCAGAATGATTATCAAATAATGTACAGAAAATATTTTAATTGTAAATTCCAGTATGATAGCATACAATGTCTGTATTATTAATAAATACGGTACACAACTAAATAAAAATATTATGCTTATAATACAGGTATAATTTCCACAAGAATTTAAACTAATGACATAATACCTATGACACATCTCACTAAAATTGTACAACAAAAGAATTAAATTATTGTCAAAATAATGTGGGGTTCAAGTAATTTAAATGTCAAAACTTTGAAAAATATTTACTTTAAAAATCAGATGCATTTTAAATTAAATTTTATTTTTTAAGCCACATAAGAATTGAACATATTTGGGAGATACATAGTAATGTTTCAATACATATAATTTATAGTGATCAGATCGGATAAATTAGAGTATCCATGGTTTCAAACATTTATCATTTCTTTGTGTTGGGTACAAAATCCCCTTTTAGCTATTTGAAACTATATAGAATATAATGTTCTTAACTATAGTCATCCTACAGTGATATAGAACACCAGAAATTATTCCTCCTACCAAGCTGTAACTTTGTATCCTTTAACAAATCTCTTTCTAGTCTCCCTTTGCTGCAGCTTTCCCAGCCTGTAGTATCCTGTTTTATTTTTTACTTCTATGATATCAATTTTTTTAGCTTCCACATATAAGTAACAACATGCAATGTTTAACTTTCTGTTCCTGGCTTGTTTGATTTAACATATGCCTTCCAATTCCATCCATGTTCACATTTTCTTTACCCATTCAACTGTTGTTGGATACCTAAGTTTCTTCTATATCCTGGCTGTTGTGAATAGTGCTGCAGTGAACATAGGGTGCAAATGTCTCTTTAATATACAGATTTCCTTTTTCCAGTAATGGTATTGCTGGATCATATGATAGTTATATTTGTAATTTTTGAAGAAACTACATATTGTTCTCCACAGTGTCTGCTCTAGTTTACATTCCCACCAGCAGTGTCTAAGAGTTAATTTTTTTTTTCTGCATCTTCACCAATATGATTTTATTTTACTTTACTTTACTTTATATTATTTTATTTTATTTTATTTTATTTAATTTTAAGACAGTCTCACTCTGTCACCCAGGCTGGAGTGCCTTGGTTTAATCATGGCTCTCTGTAGCCTTGAACTCCTAAGCTGGAGCAATCTTGAGTAACTGGGACTACCTACTGGCATGTGCCACCATATCCAGCTAATTTTTACTTTATAACATTTTTTTTAGAGACAGAATCTTGATATGCTTTTTAGAGACAGAGTCTCGATATGTTGCCCAGATCTCAAACTTCTGGACTCAAGCAATTCTCCTGCCTTGGCCTGTCAAAGTGTTAGGATTACAGACATGAGCCACAACGGCTGTCATTTTTTTTTATCTTTTTGATAATAGTCACCCTAATTAGGATGAGATGATATCTCATTGTGGTTTTGATTTACATTTCCGTTATGAATAGTTAATGTTGAGTGTTTTAAACATATACTTATTTGCCATGTATATGTCTTCTTCTGGGAAATGTCTGTTCAGATCACTTTTTCATTTTTTAATCAGGTTGTTTCTTTGTTGTGATATTTTGCCTTATGCAAATAGTATTGTGAAGTATTAATGAAGTAAGACAATTTTATTCAAGGACCAATCCCATGCAAATACATTCAGAGCTGTTCTTAGTTAATTGCATTTATAATTTATACTTTTTATTACCATGTGCATTACTCTAAATTTAGTGAAATTTTACTGTATTTTTACTCAGTGTATATACTGTTGCTCATGAATTGTTGGAGTATAATAGTTAACTATCCTTAATTAAGTCTTATTTATTGAATTTATATGTTGCCATTTTCTATAGGAGTTTTTTTTTTTTTTTTTTTTTTACAATATGAGTGGAATCATTGCTGATTTTCTATGAATATATGAACTGAATTTTCTCAGATAAATCTTATGTTTCTTTTGTGCCCACAAAGACATCTGGATACTCATCAGAAGTGTAAAAATTCCAACTAGAAGAAAAAAGAAATAATTATTATGTCTTTCTTATTTCTATCAAATAAGTTATATCAGGAAAATGATCACTAGCATGTTTAGCTTTTAAGAT